AGAAGCAAACCTGTCTTGAAACAGCTATACTTCCCAATCCCAATTTCTGCACCAGTCTATTGTCATGTAGCTGAGGGCATCACTTTAGTCCTAAATAATCATAAAAAGCCGATGTTTAGACTAAAGAGGCGCTCTTATTTCATCTTCATGGCTGTTCACTGATTTTTCACTTTCAAATGAAGTGTGCTTTTTTGAATTAATGGGCCACTGAGGACACATTCACCCAATGCAGCGCTAATATTTTCTAACCGGCACTGTACAGTATAATGTGAAACCACACATTGTTGCTTTGATGTGTTATTTTATTGGACCAACTAACCTCGCAGATCAAATGTGCAGCGCCCTGTGTAAAGTCAGACATCACAATGTTGTTTCAATTCAGAGTCCCTTTTCTAACAAGAAATGATTTACTTTGTCATTGCTCGGGTCATCATTGGAGAGTGTTGTTTATAGCGATGTACAAGGTTGAGTTTCCAAAAGTATACGAATGGCATTGAAAGCCGTCGCTATGCAACCGAGGGATTCTGCGCCTTGCTGTGACCTACCAGGTGACCCAGGCTTTCTGGCTCTGTAAGCAAAACTCAGAGGAAGTGAGCTGACACAGCACCTTCAAAAGAAGCAAAAATCTCCCTCCACAACACCTCATGCATTTGTCTGTGCTTCCTCGTGTCATACGCTCCACCATTAATAGTGTTCCCCAGTGAAAATGTTTACAGTGCATCCCATTTATCACAGCCTCCTCACAGTCTAATAAAAAATGCCCTCTGAGGCCTTATTTTCAGTCTCTGTATTTAAAAGTGTTTTTGAATTTGGTAGTCTGCCCTCTGGTTTATCTGGAGTCCGTCTCTACTCCCTCTGGATTGAGATCTCTTTGGGCTTTGAGTTCAGAGAGCAAATGCTTAGGGAGTGCTAGGAACATAATAAATTTAGTGAGGTGAAAACTCTGAGCTGCATTTGATGAAAAACACAAGGTCTACTGGTCACATGCCTCTCTGCATGTGCTGCTGGGCTCAATGCAAACTGACAGAAGATTAAAAAGTTAGGGGATGAAATTGAAGAGGCTGAGATCATCATATCATGCCATTAACAGCAAAGTTGAAAACTGCAAACAAAGTACATTGTGTCAGGGTTTGCAGCACAGAATTAGTTAGTAGGCAGGGACCCGTAGGATTCGCTCGAGTTGATTTCATCAGTTTTGCCGCTTTCTTGCTGACATAAAGGGAACCCAAATGTCTTGCCTCTGTTAGCATGAATGACCCCTTTAACACTGCTGAAGCTTGTATAGAGCGTTAGGTGTTAAAGAGGATATATTATTCTCATTGTCTCATTTGTATTTTGTACCAGACACTTTTTTTACGCTGCTATGGACAATCTTGCACTCATGTACATTCCCAAAGATATTGAAGTGACTGTTATTTTTGTATATTGATTGTTGTGTTTTTATCTTAATGTGTGCATACAGTATGTGTAAATGTGTCTGTTGATTGTGGATATAATTGTATTTTTGTATTCGGGATTGTTGGAAACGTTATTTCGATCTCTCTGTCTGTACACTACACACAAACTGAAAGGTTTACATTAAAGTTGACTTTGACTTTGACCTGTTCACACGCTTTAATGTTCAACGGTCTTTATTTTCCTCACACTGCCTGTGCTGCAGCACCTCTTGGAGGGAACATTGGGATTCTAATTTGCGGACCAATTACATACACAAAAAACACTGGAGGAAAGGGAAAACCCCTAAAAGCCTAAAAGGGCCTCTTTATTTAAGAGAGCAGTAATATTATTGCTGATTACAATGATTGATCAAACGGATGATTTCTAAAACCCAAGGCTATTTTTACTAACAGTGCCCTATTGTCAAAGGGTTGGCTTCACAATAAGATTAAGTAAGCATACACTCGAACCAGCACCATTACTGTAGAGTGGATTTGAGCAGCCTGCAGAAACACCATTAAAAAGTGTCTAGTTGGGCCAAATAAAAAAAGTCTTTAAACAACAATAAAACCAACGTACGCCTCATTTACTCCAGAAGTCTAAATGATCCTTTGGGCTATGGAGAGCAAACAGGTTGCAGGTTTTCATTCCAACGAATCACCATCCACTGACTTTCAGCCCTCCTTAGTAAGAGGAAGAACTCTTCAGTAAAATAATGATTTTCCTTCATGCTGCCAGAAAACCGATGAGAAATTCTGTAGTTCTGAATCCTCAAGAACTGCGACTATTCAGCGAAGCAGAATTTGATAATGCAAAATGATGTTGTCAATCAACATAATTAGGGTTTATATCAGGGGAGTCAAACTCAAATACACAATGGGACAAAATAAAAAAATGGGTACTAGTCGAGGGCCGGACTGGTTCAATGTTTATTGCAGAACGTATTGAACATATTAAACTTGGAACTAACAAAGCTTAAATGATTGCCTATAAAAACAACATTAAACATTAAATAATCAGTTGCATTCATTTCTTATGGCTCTATCTGCAGCTTTTCCAGAGTCATTTCTTATGATTACATTTTTCCACAGACCAACAACAGCTTCAAAAAAACTATTTCCCTCAAAGAGAAACCCAAACATGCCCTGTTGTCGTGAGAGAAAAAGTGCAGAAGGAAACATCCATTGAAACTCAGTGTGCTGCTCTGTGAGGCTAGTTCAAGCCAGATACTTGGCGGGTGCAAGTTCATCGATGTTTGGGGTCAGGCTCTGAGCGGAGGAAATCCTCAGGATTGAGTGAAGGTGTGTGTGCAATATACCGGCGGGCCAGATCTAATAGTAATCAGAAATTATCCTGCGGGCCGAAATTAAATCCACCAAGGGCCTGATTTGGCCCCCGGGCCTTGAGTTTGACACATGTGGTTTAAACCCTTATAACAATGAAAACTAGTGCACTTGTGCAAAGTACTTTGTAAGCTACATTTAGCAATAGTAAGAATAAAACTATACAAAGACTGAAGCAGGCTTTAAAAAGACACTGTAGTTCACTGAAAGATATGCCATGTTGTCTTTATTAGATAGTTGAAATGTAAAGGGAACATTGGGGGGATTAAAGAGCGTATAGAGACATCTTAATATTCCTGAATATCTTATTGATTTTCTTTCAGCAGGCCTAAAGAAACCAGAGGCTCCTGGAGAGGTTGTTTAGTGTGTGTATACAACAACTCTGTACCTGAAAGAATATTAAAAACCGTGTTTATGTTGAACTCTCCCTGTTGAGCATCTGTGTCCCCGAACAATATAGTTTGTTTTTCCAATATAAGCAGTAAATGTTCCTCTTTAGAGACCTTCTGTATACAGCTATAGTTTACAGAGACAAAAAACATGTTTAGTTTTCTTCACAGCGAAACCCTGCTGTAGTGATGCAAACATTGACTGCAATGGTTAAGTGTTTTTAACCGTGATCAGTAGATGGGTCTTGCTTTTTTATTATTAAAACCTGCTTTCAGCACAAGCAGTTTTCTACGATAAGACCAACTCATAGTTCTGTACGTTTCTTTTAATATTCGTCTATGAATCTAACATAACTTCTTCGATTAGAAACCATTGTGATACATCAAAAACATTGTGTAAGAAAATAAGTTTGGAAATGTAATTTTCTGTGGACACCTTTTAAAATAACGCCATGTTGTGCACTTCTGACCAATCGCACAGTGTTTGAGGCACTCTAAATCACGTTGGACAAGAAGTACGTAAATTGAGACACAACACAAGGCCACATCCACTCCCACTTCCTTCCAACCCATTTCCCTGCAGTTCTGCTAACGTCTAATAACCTTTATTTATACAGTCTATGGTTCCAACTTTCCTTTTCAGCCTTTCACAGTGTTTATCCCCATTTTGTTGCGTTAGCTTATGTTACCTATTTAGACCCTCCAGAAAAACGCGATTCTGCGATCGCAGAATTTACCGCTTAATCAGCAAAATGGCGCAGATTTTTAAAAGGCCGCATAATCCCCGCATTTTTCCACACAAAGTTGAGAAAAAAAAAAGTTAACTCGTCTTGACGTGAAGTAGTGATGATGATAACGTGACATCATCAGCTCGCGCATCACAGAAGGTAAACAACACCGTAGAGTGAACGTGTGGAGCTCACATGAAGAACATTTCTGCTAAAGACCGGGCAAAGCAGTACCCCGATGTCTTTCACAACAGTTGCACCCCATGCAACTGTGTTTTGGAGCATACGTCTTAGAGAAAATCGACGGTGACGACCCACTTTGATTCATTCAAACATTAGAAAATGCTTTCTGCTGCTGCGGACAAGAAAGCCAAACAACTCACGTTCACCGAGGCATCAACCTCCAAAACCCTTTCGAGGGCTACAAGAAATGAAGTGAGTAGCCTACAAGATTGAAGCTGGTCAGATAACGAACGAGTAAATGAAAACAGAATGAGGCGGAGAAGTGTGTGTGTGTGTGAGTGTGTGTGTGTGTGTGTGTGTGTGTGTGTGTGTGTGCGTGAGTACGTCGACGACGACGACACNGAGTGCTGCTGTATGTTACAAATAATAATAAATAATCTTTTTTTTAAATAATTGAAGTTTCTCATTATGTTGAGGTACTATGTCATTGATTAATTACAGGATAACCTGTAATTAATCAATGACATAGTACCTCAACATAATGAGAAACTTCAATTATTTAAAAAAAAGATTATTTATTATTATTTGTAACATACAGCAGCACTCCCTAGTGGCTCAATTGAGAACAACACAATATACTCTATCCTGATGCTTTTAAAGGGACCTTTCTCAGAGTGTGTGTCTCAGAGTGTGTGTCTCAGAGTGTGTGTGTCTCAGAGTGTGTGTGTAACAGAGTGTGTCTCAGAGTGTGTGTCTCAGAGTGTGTGTGTAACAGAGTGTGTAACAGAGTGTGTGTAACAGAGTGTGTAACAGAGTGTGTCTCAGAGTGTGTGTGTAACAGAGTGTGTGTCTCAGAGTGTTTGTGTAACAGAGTGTGTGTCTCAGAGTGTGTGTGTCTCAGAGCAGGTAATGTTTCCTCACCTCTCTGGATTATCTGACGCACACACCGAGTCGATCATCCCGACGTCCAGCGTGCCCTGAAGAGAGAGAGAGAGAGAGCGAGAGACAGAGAGAGAGACAGAGACAGAGAGAGAGAGAGAGAGAGAGAGAGAGAGAGAGAGAGAATGATGAATTCATGAATTGAATGACTCTGTGTTCCTTGTACATTTTTTTTAAAAAGCAGTTTGTTTATTTGTATGTGTTTGTTATAGATGTTGCAGCTTTAGCAATACTGTATGTAGCTATGGTCATGCTAATAAAGCTATTGAGTTGAATTGAGAGAGAGGGGTTCAGGGACTGTGTTCGACGCACCATACTCTGACTTCTTTCATATTTGTTGGACCTACTATGCTATGACTTTCACTAAATCTTGTCTCCATCCCATAATACTCACCACAGCGTTCTGGGGGTTGGCCTGCTCGTCGTGCATCTCTCTGATCTCCTGCTCTGTGGAGCCGTGCACCTGACTCAGCACGCTGAACCACTGGCTGTAACCATGGAAACATCATCATCACCATCACCATCATCATCGTCATCATCATCCTCACCACCACCACCATCATCATCATCATCATCATCACCACCACTACCAGCATCATCATCATCATCATCATCATCATCATCATCATCATCATCACCACAATCACCATCATCCTCCTCACCACCACCACCAGCAGCATCATCACCAACATCACCAACATCACCATCACCACCAACATCACCATCACCACCATCATCATCATCATCATCATCACCACTTTCACCATCATCATCATCACTAANCCACCACCACCACCACCACCACCATCATCATCCCCACCACCACCACCACCACCACCACCACCATCATCATCATCATCATCATCATCATCATCATCCCCACCACCACCACCATCATCATCATCCCCACCACCATCATCACCATCATCATCATCATACATGTTATGTTATGTATACAAAGCACATTTCTTGTATGTGAAAAGTGAATAGAGCATCAATAAACTGGATTCTGATTCCATTGTTCTTCTTAAATAAGTTTCAGGTTCCCCTACATGTTTTGTTTTGTTCATCCCATGATGTCTGAAACAAACTGACCTGGCGTCCTCTGGAGTTTCTGCGATCAGCTGGAAGGTCCTCTCTGGCATCACGATGTTGATCCCGTTCTCCTTTCCCGTGTTGTCGATGATCTCTCTGCAGAGCACAGGAACACATTGTTAATCGGTCATCTTTCCATAAGTGTGTAACGTGCAGGGTCAGCTTGCTTTACATATCTCCAAGAAGATTTAAAACTGATTTTGTCGGAAAGTCATAGGAAGTCATAGGAAGTCATAGGAAGTCATAGAAAGTCATAGGAAGTCATAGGAAGTCATAGGAAGTCATAGAAAGTCATAGGAAGTCATAGAAAGTCATAGAAAGTCATAGAAAGTCATAGGAAGTCATAGGAAGTCATGGGAAGTCATGGGAAGTCATGGGAAGTCATAGGAAGTCATAGGAAGTCATAGGAAGTCATAGAAAGTCATAGGAAGTCATAGGAAGTCATAGTATAGTATGTCATATAAAATAAAATCAAAAAGTCATTATATATCATGTCATATCGTTCTTCATAAAAGTCATAAATAGGT